CCTGGTGTCACGTGACCAATATCTGACAACTTCTGAATAGGGCAAGTGGCCAGTGTCACGTGACTGGATGGCTGAATCATGGGCACTTGGTGGTCATGTGGTAGACACAGTCATATCCGCAATATATATGGTGGTATTGTGCTGTTTGTCCAAGTATCCATTTTGTGAGACCAATATGAAGGTTGGCATTACTGTGACACTATCGAAGAAGTGAAAAACTGGTGTTGACATTCATTTGAAGAAGGTATGATGAGTCCTCCTGTCTGCTCCCATTAAGCCCCCAATGTCAGTGCTTGTATTGCTTGTAGAACGTTGAGGCCATCATTGATGGCTGCATGTGGGAGCTTAAAGATTGCTTCTGAAATGAGCTAGACCAGAAGTGCCTAGTTGGTGCTGCAATTGTGATGCATTCGGTCTTTGCAGTTTGTGACTGACACTAACGAATCATTTACCTCTCAGGCTACTTTCACTGCTGTCGAGATGTTCAACACTGTTGCAGCTTCGATGCACTAGGTGACATTTATGCTGGTAAGTCTTTTCATTGTAAAAATCATCACCTGCAGCTCACACACTCACAATTTGCAGCTCTGCATCATCATGAATTGTGGCAGCAGAACCTCAATGTCAAGCTGACCAATTCATTCATGTGCAACGTCACAAGCACATGATTCAAGCTTTCAGAGATAAATCTCTTTGCCTCCTTGAGCAGCTCACAATGGCAGCAATCAATAAGCTGCTCATGGACATTGAGCAATCTGCCTCTATCAGGCTCAACAGATGCATGGTCAGCTAAAGAATGCTGTGCCTGGACAAGACAAGCATCACACTGACAAAGACACTGAAGGCTATGCACAAGACAATGAAGAGGCAGCAAAAGGTAATGAGCTGATTAACCATGAAAAAGAGAAGCATGGACCAGAGAGCGTGGTGTGGCAGAAATTCAGATTCAACATTTGGTAGAAGCTCATTCTCGCATGACTACGTGAAGGACATTAAGGATGAGATGTTTGACCACAATGTGGAGGTGCTCCTCACTCAGCTGTCAGCTGCTGCTGATTCAGTCAGAAGTGCACTGAAGAAGGAACTTTGAACTCGTGGTGTTAGCAGTACTGCAATCTGTTGCGATATCTATCTATATAACCCGGGCTGAATGTAACATTCGGCCTGCCTCTGTGCGCACCTTCTAACTTCTGGAGATCTCCTCCTATCCTCTTGAAAAGACCCTTATTGTGAAGCTCTGCATCGATTTTCAGGTTGCAAGAGGGTTGCAATCAATTGACGTGATGGATCATGCGCGAGAGCTTGCGCAATCAGATACATTTTGGCACTCTGTTGACTGTGACTAAAATATTGTCTAAAAACTTGAGCAGGTGCTGTTATTTTTTTTTCTTTTGTGACCCCTAGGTATGCATATCCTCCTTATCATATTAAGATTCCAAGTAATTACACCGTCCGGTGTTTTTTCTATGCATTGTTCTTTTAGCTCACTTAATAAGCGCCTGCTTTCCGTGTAGCTCATTTCATTTGTTTCCCACCGTACATCCACTCTCTCCACTATGCGCTGCTTGCGACCTTTTGCTATATCCTTCAGCTATATGCATGTCAAAAATTCCCACGAACGGAGCCCTTTGCGACCCTCCAGAACATATACTTAGATACACTCTTGCTGCTAATTTCACTCCCGATCAGGGAGCCTCA